CATGAGATAGGCAGAGAGCGGGAGATAGAATTACCCTCTTTCTTCCTCGTTTGCGCGCTCTCTCCCAGTCTCTCTCTCCCCATCTCTCTTTTCGACTCCCCTATTTGAATTGCATTCCGAGCTCCCCCTATAATTCAGGCTAAGATTATCACCAAATGGCGCCGCGCTATGCTAGCCTCGTTATCATCTCAACGCAGCAGCCGATATTTCAATATTTCTTGCTAGACAAACAATCATCGCTTGTTTACCGAATAACGGAAAATGTAAACAAGCTCCGGAACGCTCCCGTCGGCTTCACCACGTGACCGCGGAGAACGAACGGAGTGTCAAACACGTGCACATCCATCGTCTGCTTCTATCAATTCCTCTACAAATCATGTCTTATATACATATGTGTGTGTTGTTGTTTTTTTCACTGGTGCGCGAAATCTGTTGCATATTACCTGCATGCGGATTTCCGAAGGACGCGGACATGAAAAATGTCGAGTTCAAAAATGTTTTCCAATGGATTCTTCTTCTCATGTTTTAATTACAACATCAATAAAATTATCTCGTATTTTTACCCGTTATTCTAGTTAGTATTTCGTCGTTGCAGACGCGTGAGACATTAAAGATAAAGTACGGCTTATATATATGTATATATATATATATGTATATATATATGTATATATATATATACGTATATATATACGTATATATATACAGTAGAATGCGATTACATACACTCCGAGGACCATTCATGGAGTGAATATTTAAGCAATAATGACGACGTTGTAGCGGTGTGTATCAATAGCCGCCCGTTTGCATATCAAATCGGTTAGTGAGACACAACAATAAGACTCGGAGGACTCATTGCACGACCAGACGCGGTGTGTGGGTGAGTGGGTGGGTTCCGGTGTGTGTGCGTGCGTGCGTGCGTGCGTGCGTGCGTGCATGCGTGCGTGTGCGTGCGGGCGTGTGCGTGCGTGCGTCTGTGTGTGTGTGTGTGTGTGTGTGTGTGTTGCACGCGCGTGTGTGTGTATGCGCGCGTCGGTGTGTATGCGCGCGCGTGTGTGTATGCGCGCGCGTCTGTGTGTACGCGTGTGCATGCGTGCGGGTGCGTGCGTGCGCGTGTGTGCGCGTGCGTGTGTCTACGTGTGCGTGCGTGTTCAGTGAACATCAGCAGCAGCAGCAGCTGCTGGCATTTGCCCGCTCGCCGCAGCCATTCATTTGGCGGCAAGAATCTTTCAGGTCGTGTGACGGTAATGAGACGAATGAAACAGTTACAGATATTCGATTACGACCGAACATACCACTTCCAATTTTACACACGTAGGCGACATCTTCGCGCTCCTGCTGCTTCCAGTTAAGAGATTAGACGTGCGGCTAGGCCGTCTTTAATTGCCGCGCGGATGTTACAAGCCGTGCCTCGTTTGTTTCGTGTCCGCCTTGAGACGTGTAATTGGGACCGGATGTTAACGGAAAGGCAGACTGAGAAATGCGTCGGAAGAAATGCGAGCACGCAGGGGCCCGACAATGGAGTCGGCAGTGTGTAGGGGGCTGCCCCGGCAACGAACGATTCCGGAGAATTGCTATATTGCGTTGTAATGAAAGATTTTGAGACTGACTGTAACCCATCATGTGTGTGTTGTATATGTTGCTCACCCGACAATTGCTCCATTCGACAATTTCCGGATGAGAAAATGGCAGGTGAAAAAACATGTTGACATCTCTTGTAACTATATATTATATATATATATATATAAATATATATATATATATATCCGGCTGCCATCAGCGCTGCATCCGTTCCATTCTTGGCATCCACTGGAGTGACTTCGTCCCAAATGTCGAGGTCCTCGTGCAGGCGGAGGCCCCCAGCATTGAGGCCATGCTGTTGAAGACACAATTACGTTGGGCAGGGCATGTGTCCAGAATAAAAGACCAACGACTGCCTAAGATTGTTCTGTACGGATCGAGAGCTGTCATCTGGAAACCGCAACTTAGGGGCACCAAAGAAGAGGTTCAAAGACAGTCTCAAGTTTTCCCTCAATGCCTGCCACATCGACCCCATCACTGGCCTACTCTGGCTGCTGACCGCGAGGGCTGAAGACGCACCGTTTACCAGACTGTCTCCTGTTTTGAAGACACTCGCAGAACCAGACTGGAAGATAAGAGGAGCAGGCGGAAGCAGCGCAGCAGCACGATCCCCATCACCGACCAGACTTTCATCTGCAGCCGCTGTGGCCGGACCTGCCTGTCCCGTATCGGCCTTGTCAGTCACCAGCACACATGCAGCAGACGTGGACAACTGCCTTCTTAGATCTTCGTTCGCGAAGCCAGGCCAAGATATATATTATATATATATATAACGCACAGCGCCGTCTGTCGATAAAATCATGCAAAAATGAATCTAAATCATGGTGCCACCAACGATCGAGGCGTTTGCTGAATTAACACTGAGAATTATGGTAGCTTAGAATAATTAATTCCACGAATAATTGTATAAGCATTATTACAGAGCGCATGTGAACGAACGGGTATGCTATGTCATAAGAATCATAAGACTCATTTACTGATTGTAAATTTAGTAATGATGCCGTGTATTATTAATTATATCCTAAATAATCTATGAATGCCTTATTTCGTGTGCTGTGAACCTCTGAGCTGTGAACTCTCCCTTATCGCTATTGGCTGCATTGTCGTGACGTCACAATGTGAGCCTCCTGTTTACGTGTTGCTATGCTACGTTACGTAGTTTGCTGTTGATTTTCTTTGGACTTGAGGCTGGGAATAATTTTAGAAGGACGTTGTCTTGACGCATTGACAGATAGCTCACTTCAGGTATTTATTATAAGCTCGTATAATGCAATGATACCATATGGTATGTCCACTGATACAGAGAAAAAAATTTGCGCAGAGTGATTGGTGAATCAGTGAGTGGCATTCCATTATTCATCGAGCTAGGTGCAGTCTCGGTCTAAGTTCTAACCCGACCAGGCTGTGTGACTAACGTCAACTGTGTGACTAACGTCAAAATCCGGCATTCTAACCCTAGCAATACCGTTTCTTGAAGCTAGGTGCAGTCTGCAGAGTGCATTTTAGTTCTGATTCTGTTTTTACGTGCACCAAAATTTTACTGTCCATGTTACAGATGGCCACAACCGTGAGTTAATAATATGCATGCCTACTCCATACGTTAACATACATAAATGTGCTGCTTAGGGAGATGGTGCGGACGCGGCAAAATAGCTCGAGGCAGCACCGCCTTCACAACCAAGAAGTTTAAGATTAACTCCATGTCTCTCGCAGGTTTCGGCATCATGTCAACGAGGCTTGAAAAGCCTTCGATGCGGTTCACGGTGCCGGACTGGCACACCGCTAACATGACCATGGTGGCTAGCGGAGAGCAGCAGCGAGGGAAGTCAAGACAGTGCCGCGAGGAGGCCCGCCAGATGCAAAACGAAGCGGAGAATACTAGTAAATGGGACCAGCAGGAGAACACCACGCGCCTTGCACAAAGGTGCCTTTTAGCATCCTCGTAAAATAAATGTTCTTTACCCTTCTGCAACAAAATAGTATTACCAGTAATTTTAGTATTTTTTCCAGAATTATAGGTTATACTATCATGCTAAACGTATGCGTTTAAAGACAAAAACAGTATCTTTGTATCTGCTAAATTTCTGTTTTTTCGTGCTCGCGACAGGGTGGGCGATATTGAATATTGGAAGAACACACTGGAGAAATGTTTGAGCGACATCGACAGCGAGATAGCGTCGCTCTCTGAAGCCAAGCATCACACAGAGAACGCCCTCGAGGCCATGGCCGTGCCGCTAGACGTAGCACTTGAGTGCCTGACTTTGCGAGAGGGCAGAGAGGGCACGGACATTGTCGCGGATGGGGTGGAAGACCAGCTCAACACCGAAGTGCAAGTATGTGCTCTCGTAATTTCTCTACACACCTGCCTGCTATTTATAAGCATGAGTTTCAACATTGCACACTATGCAGGGAGCGTTGTCACAGACCAAATACCTCAGTAATGTACATACGAAAAAGTAGAAACCTCAAACTAGGCAGGTACAATATATATAGAGCTACCTGTGCTTGAACATTTGGCTCAAAGCTAAGTTCATGTACTCATAAATACACCTTTTAGATTCCCTATCCATCAGCAAAACTACAAATGACATTAGATATGCATATTAACAGGTATCATTAAGAAGTTAGTGTATATTATGTGTTATGCTTTTGTTATGTTTCTTGTATGCAAGTAAGATGTGTGATTTACGTGTTGTGTTCCCTGTAGGTGATTGCTCAGGCGAAGCAGCAGCTACAGCAGCGATGCAGAGAAGGATTTGAAAAGCTGATACAGCTACAGGAAGCTCGTCAGCAGGTGGTGCTGGATCTGCAGGTAAATGCAGCTTCCTCTTCCCAGCATCATCTTCTAACATTACATCACTTTAACATCACCTCATAACATCACCTCATAGCATCACCTCATAACATCACCTCATAACATTACCTCATAACATTACCTCATAACATCACCTTATAACATCACCTCATAACATCACCTCATAACATCACCTCATAACATCACCTCATAACATCACCTCATAACATCACCTCATAACATCACCTCATAGCATCACCTCATAACATCACCTCATAACATCACCTCATAACATCACCTCATAACATCACCTCATAACATCACCTCATAACATCACCTCATAACATCACCTCATAACATCACCTCATAACATCAGGAGTGTATCAATTGATATATATATTGATACACTCCTGATAACATGACAGTGCAGCATCACATCACCTTATTAGTTCTCATTTCTAACATTACCTTCTCAACTTGTTCGTGCAAACAGTTTCACAATCAAACAGTTTTATGTGTGAATTACAAATCTCCGATTGATACACTGTTCCGTCATTATTGCCTGCACGCCATTGCAGTCTGCAGCTACCAGTTCACACTACTGTGAAGTTAAGGGCAGGATCGTAAGCGTGGTATATCAGAAGTGAGTCAAAACAATTGTGTGTGATCGTGCGTGCACTTACGTCTGCAGGATAAGAGCGTGGCGTACATCATAGACACGCAGCAGCACACGCTTAACGAGAGTACACCCGGCATCAGCCTCAAGCCTGACCCCGTGCGCGTGCCCAAGGGCTCGGTGGTGCCACCTAACTGGAAGAATTTCAGCGAACAGAACTGCATGAGAGCGGAGGCATTGATGAAGGCTTCTAGCAAGCTCAGAGAGGCGATACAGGTGAGAGAGACATGGTGCGCAACAGGGAAAAAATAACATTTTTTTCACGGGAGCTCTTTTCCAAAAGTCTGTGGGGAAAAATAGCTCTCGTCAAAAATTTTACGGGAGCGATTTCGGAGGTTTGAAGAGCTCATCGCTCATCGCTCCCGTGTATGTTTTACCTTGATGTGCACGTGGTTGCACTGTTACTGCTCAATTCATTCGTGTGCATGATGCTCATAGTTTTACTCACCCCCCCCCCACCCTCCACCCCATAAGGTCAGGCTGTGTGCTATACACCGAGGATATAGGTACTGGATGAGGAATTGTAAATCCTGGTACATCTCAAGGAAAATTACGTGCGCCGTTGAGCTTCTAAGGGCACTGGCTTACTAACACTAACGCTAACACAAACCCTAATCCTAATCCTAACACCCTAACCCTAACACACACCTTAACCATAATCCTAACCCTAACCCTAACCTCTATCCTTAATCCTAACACTAATCCTCACCCCAACACAGACCTAACGCTAACACAAACCCTGACCCTAACCCTAACCCTAACCCTATCCCTGACCTGACTGACCCTAACCCTGACCCTAACCCTAACCCTAACCCTAACCCTAACCCTAACCCTAACCTCTGTCTCCTTCCCGCACGCCTCCCTAGATCACGCTCAACAGGACGACGATACGCCTCGCCTCGCAGCACTCTGCGACCAACTTCGCGTTCCGCAAGCGCACGCACGAGACGGAGCGCGCTCGAGACGAGCTGGCGTGGCAGCGCGGCGAGACGGAGGCGGAGATCGAGCGCCTCGAGCGAGACGTCGACCGCCTCGACGAGTCGATGCGAGACAAGCGCGCGCCGCTCAAGCTCGCGCCGTGACGGCGCCTCGTAGAACGCACGGCGAGACCCAACATGGAAGCTGTGCCGGCGACACGTGCAGTACGGACTCACCGGTAGGGTGGCGCTAGTAGAGCACGGACTCACTGGTAGGACGGCAATGCTAGTATCAGCACGGACTCAACGCATAGTGCGCTTAGTATATGAACGGGCTCACCGGTACGGTGGCGCTTAGATATAGCATGGGCTCACCGCACGTAGCGTGGCAGCTAGTATAGCACGGGCTCCACGTCGTGATATTACAGGGGACTGAGGGTGCCGCGGCTAGCTATAGCCGGCCTCACCGAGGTAGGTGGCGCTAGTGCTAACCTCAACGGTATGCGCTTTAAGCACGGGCCAGTCAGCGGTAGGTGGCGCTAGTATAGCCGGGCTCATCGTGTAGGTGAGCGGATAGTATAGCACGGGCTTACGGTAGGTGCGCGCTTAGAATAGCAACGCGCTTCACCGGGTACGGTGGCGCTAGTAAGCACGGAACTCACCGGTAGCGGGGCGTGCTAGTAGAAGTAGCTAGTACGGCGGCATGGCCCTGTGAAGGGCAATAAGTAATGCATTGAATAATTTCATCGGCGTCTCTATAGTTCACAATGCTATAAAGTTTATCTCTGACATTTAGCATCCAAATTAAGTTATATTTTAATAACTTACACTGACGAAATTTTCGTCCATCTCTCGCATAGACTTTCTTCAGGTCTGACCCGAAGAAGTCTATCGGAGAGATGGACGAAATTTTGTCAGTGTAAGTTATTTTTAACATAATTTGGATCTAACTGAGTATAAACTTTATTTATTAGGCAAGGGCTATAGTAGTTTAGTAGTATGCGGCTCCCCAGTTAGAGGTGTGTTGTAAAGCTGAATAGTATAGCAAAGGGTCAATGATTGTATAGTTGTGTCTTTGGCACGTCGCCGCCTTCAGGCGAGCCCTTCGACGATTCTATCTCATGTTTCTTCCTTTCCGATTCTATCTCCATCTCATTTTCTTCCCTCGTTACGTTCTATCTTCATGTTTTTCCTCTCCACGATTCTATCTCGTGTTTCTTGTACTCCTGATTCTATCCATGTAAACTTCTTCTCTCACGATTCTATCTCATGTTTCTTCCTCTCCTGATTCTATCTCATGTTTCTTCTTCTCACGATTCTATCTCATGTTTCTTTCTCTCCTGATTCTATCTCATGTCTCTTCCTCTCACGATTCAATCTCATTTTTCTTCTTCTTACGATTCTATCTCATGTTTCTTGCTGTCCAGCGGAGGTGCTGAGCGTGGAAGCCACGATCACTACGCTGCAGCGTAAGCTGTCCGACGCCAAGGACGTGCTGCACCGCCTGCAGAGCCACCTATACTCGCTCACCGGCGACCTCGGACACAAGAACGCCGCTCTGCAGCTCGACCGGCAGTGCGTCGAGATCAGGAAGCGGCTGGCGCCCCCTGCCCGCAGCGCGACCGACGCCAACCTGCTGCTGACGGGGCTGCAAGCGGCGGCGGAGGGGGCGGGGCCGCGCGGGACGACCCACTGCAACACGCGGGGGACGGGCATATACGACGCCATGTTCAACAGCGCGATGGGAACCATGCGGGAGACGATGGGAAGCGCGGGCGGAATCGGCGGCGTAGGGGGCGCCACCATGCTGCGCGACGCCGGCACGCTGAGCACGTTGCGCCCCCTGCCCGCCGCCGCTACCGTGCAGTCCGCGCTGCCCTCTGGTGGCGACGGGAGCACGCTGACGGGAGTGGTGGCCAACAAGGAGGAACGCACTGTGACCTTCGCTTAACCTTGACCCTCGCTTAGGTCGCGTCCAGGGCGCGTTTGCGCTCGGGCGGAGATTTCTAGCTTCATATATACACAAAAATACGAATTTATACACGTAACGGAATTCGACGATTATGGATAGCTTCAGGGGGGAGTGGTGATTCTATTGCAAGTAAATTTTCGGTGTCTGCACGTGGATTTTGTCGTTTGACACATTCTCTTTTGCCAACATGCACGATAATCACTGCATTTAATGGTTAGTGGGTGACTAAATCACTTCAAGATCAATCGTGCCCTCATATTTAAAAATAACGCATCTATTTTTAGCACGTGGTTAAATCTGTCCACTGTCAAATATTGCACAATGGTAATATATATATACTGTCCAGTTTTCCCTGTTAGGAGTCACCACATATTGCATTATTAACCAAAAAAGTTCTGCGTAACTTCAGATTGTTTATGTTTTATGTTGAAATATATCTTTTGTGTTCTCGTTGTCGACTATGCATTCAGGAGTAAAATAATATACGTTTGTATTGTTTTGCGCTTGATGCAATAGATATATATAAATTCGGCTTTTAGACATTTTAAAACCAAAGAGATGGCGCTGGCAAGTCAATATTGTTTTTGCTACAAGCTTAAAATGGCGGCTTACCTCCAAGAAACGGTATTGCTAAGGGTTAGAATACCAATATTGACGATTAGTCACACCAGCGCTAGGTCGGCGTTAAAGCTGGCGGCTATCACCAGTTGGGATGGCTATCTATTGCACCACTCCTCAGATAGTAAATTAGTGGTTAGTATCCCGTTTGTCATGCGGGAGACCGGGTTCAATTCCCCGTCGGGGAGAAATTTTTCTTCTTGAACTGCAAATTGCTTTTGGACCTTGCACCCGCACCTTGCCCTTCGCAAACCGTTAATTGGAACGATACCGGAATCGTACATCGGTATACACACCGGAACGCTAGCCCCCTGGGTACTATCTAATATCCGGACATACTCGGGCCTAACTCCACTAACGAGTCTAGGGGAGTCGCCTACGCCATACTCCCAAAACCTCAACCCTAACCCTAGACCCCTAACCATATCAAGATAGTTACCAGGGTACGTTGCCGGTATACCGGACGTACGCCAGGGTAACGTTCCGGCCAGGTCACCCTTGGGAACATAGACCCCTATGCGTTTAAGTGGGCGACTAAATCACTTCAAGATCAATCGTGCCCGGTCAATGATTTAAAATAGACGTCATCAATTTTTAGGCACGTGGTTAATCTTGTCCACTTGTCAATATTGCATAGTAATATATAATAATACTGTTCCAGTTTTTCCCTGTTTAGGGAGTCAACCACATATGGATGCATTATTAACCAGAAAGTTCTGCAGTCAACTTCAGATTGTTTATGTTTATGTTGAAATGTACTACTTTTGTGGTTCTCGTTGTTCGACGTATGCATTCACGGCAGTAAATAATATACGTTTGTATTGTTTTGCGTCTTGATTGTCAATAGATATAATTTCGGCTGTTTAGGACATTTTATACCAAGAGATGGCGCTGGCAAGTTGCATTTGTTTGTTGCCTAAAACTTACTGCGCTTAGTCTCGCAAGAAACGGTAATTGCTGAGGGTCGTAGAATACCAAATATTGACGTTTAGTGTCACACGCCGCCTGGTCGGGTTAACTGCGGCTATCACCGTTGGGAGGCTATCTATTGCATCCAATCCTGCGATGTATAGGGTTAGTACCCGTTTGTCATGCGGGCGAGACGCGGGTTCAATTCCGCCGTCGGGGGAAAGTTTTTTCATTTTGAACTGCAAATTGCTTTTGGACCTTGACACCCGCCACCTTGCCTTGCCCGTTAATTGAAATACGGAATACCGTACATCGGTACTAAACCGGAACGTACCCTGGTACCTATCTAAATTGCCGGACCATACTCGCCTACGGTCCGACTAACGAGTGCTGAGGGAGCTCGCCCTAACGGGCCTACTCTATCTAACCCTAACCCTGAACCCTAAAAGCGCATGATCACAGATTAGTTACCACGGGTAGCGTCTCCGGCTTATCCGGACCGTACACCAGGGTACGTTCCGGCAGTACCTGGGGACATGACCTGATGAGCGTTAAGTGGGTGACGCTAAATCACTTAAGAGCAGAATCGTGTCCCTCATATTTAAAAATAACGCATCAATATTGTAGCACTGTGGTTTAAAATCTGTTCCACTGTCAAATATTGAATAGTAATGATATATATACTGGTCCAGTTTTCCCTGTTATGGAATCAACCACATATTGCATTATTAACCGAAAAGTTCTGCGTAACTTCAGATTGTTTATGTTTTTTATGTTGAAATATATCTTTTGTGTGTTCTCGTTGTCGACTATGGCATTCAGGAGTAAAAAATATAGACGTTTGTACTTGTTTTGCCGCTTGATGCAATAGATTAAATTCGGCTTTGTAGAATTTTCAAACCAAGAGAATGGCGCCTGGCAAGTTCATTTGTTTTTGCTACAAAGCATTCTGCGGCTTATCTTCCAGAAACGGTTGACTTGCTGGGTTAGAATACCAAATATTGACGTTGGTCACACAGCCTGGTCGGGTTAACTGCGGCTATCACCGTTGGGAGGCTATCTATTGCATCCAATCCTCGATAGTATAGTGGTTAGTATCCCCGTTTGTCATGCGGGAGACCGGGGTTCAATTCCCCGTCGGGGCAGAAATTTTGTCTTCTTGACAATGCGCAAAATTGCTTTTGGACGGCTTGCACCCGCACCTTTGCCCTTGGGCACCGTTATGAAACTACGGGAATCGCGTACATCGGTAATACCGGAACGTACCCTGGTTACTACTCTAATGCGCGGACCATACCGGTCGACCTACTCCACTAACGAGTCTAGGGAGTCGCGCTAGCCTACTACCTAATCCTAACCCTAAACCCTAAGCCCTAACCAATGCAGATAGTGTACCAGGGTACTTCGGTATTAAACCGGACCGTACCAGGGTACGTGTCCGGCAGTACCCTGGGGGACATAGACCCTATGAGTTTAGGTGGGTGACTAAATCACTCAAGATCAAATCGTGCCCTCATATTTAAATAACGCGATGCAATTTTTAGCACGTGTTAAATCTGTCCACTGTCAAATATTGCATAGCTAATATATATTATGTCCAGTTTTCCCTGTTAGGGAATCACCACATATTGCATTAATTCACCGAAAGTTCTGGCGTACATTCAGGATTGTTTATGTTTATGTTGAAATATATCTCTTTTGTGTTCTCCGTTGTCGACTATGCATTCAGGAGTAAAATAATATACGTTTGTATTGTTTTGCGCTTGATGCAATAGATATAATTTCGGCTTTTAGACATTTTCAACCAAGAGATGGCGCTGGCAAGTCATTTGTTTTTGCTAAAAGCTTACTGCGGCTTATCTCCAAGAAACGGTATTGCTAGGGTTAGAATACCAAATATTGACGTTGCATGGTCACACAGCCTGGCTAGGGGTTAACTGCGGCTCATCACTCGCTTGGGAGGCTTCTATTGGCATCGCATCCTCGATAGTATAAGCTGGTTAAGTATCCCCGTTTGTCATGCGGGAGACCGGGGTTCAATTCCCCGTCGGGGAGAAATTTTTCTTCTTGAACTGCAATCATGGCTTTGGCCTTAGCACTCCGACTATGTTGCATTAGAGTTAGTTCACTCCATGGTCAAAACGGCTTCATTAGGGAGTAGAAGCGCTAGGCGAACCTCCTAAGACTCGTTAGTCCGGGGATGTTAATGGGCAAAGGTATGGCTCATGGCATATTAATATACCGAAGGGTACGGTTCGCGCGTATAACGGATCCGTACAAATCGCTCATACGATGTACGGTTCCGCTATGTTCAACCGGAAACGTATCCCTAGGCGTAGTCTGAGTAATACGACGGGAGGCCAATAACCTGCGCCTACTCAACTAACGAGTCCTAGGGTAGTGCGGGCCTACGCACTACTGGCCTAAAACAATAAGCTAATTTGCAAGTCAACCGAAAGAAAAAATTTCATCCCCCGGAACGGGGAAGATTCGAACCCCCGTACCTCTAACCCTAAGACATACTCAGCGATAGCTATACCACAGGGTACGTTTCCGGTAATAACCGGACCGCATACCCAGGTAACGTATCGGCGGGCAAGTACCTTTCACTGGGGATCCATCGCAACGACTACTCTATCTCATAACCTGCCGACGCATGACAGGAAAACTGTGTTTGACGGTAAACTGTCCAATACAACCACAGGTATATGATTTAGCTACCTCAACCGCTCACAACGGCAGAACTTACGCCCGCAGTGGTTCTTGGAGCTCAAGACGACCCTGATGCACGCGAAGTAGTGCGGTTGACTAAGATGCAGTTGCAAGGATCAACAGTCATCGAGTTGGTCACCACTTCGTGAGGACTCGTAAATGATTCTAAATAACCGTTTCATTGGAGATAAGCCGCAGTAAGCTTGTTAGGACAAAAACAAAATGAACTATGCCAGCGCCATCTCTTGGTTGAAAATGGATCTAAGAACCGAAATTATATACTATTGCATCAAGCGCAAAACATACAAACTATAGATTAATATTAGCACTTAAACACATAAAACCCATCAATTTTTAAGGCACGTGGTTAAATCTCGTCACACTGATCAAATATTGTCGACTAGTAATATAGTATCAGATAACACGTGAATGCCAAGCATCTAATAATAGCATAATATTGTCACCTCCAACCCACTTAAACCATACCGCCACGTTAAAAACAACTGTTACGCTGAAGTTACGGCAGAACTTTTTCGGTTAATAAATGGGATCTAATATGCTGGTGATCACCCACATAACAGAGGAGAATAGAACTTGAAGACAGTTGATGATTTATTTATAAATACCGAGAAAGTTCTGCGTAACCTTCTAGACTATTAATGTCAATTGATTACGAGTGGACAGTAAGTTTTTAAACCTATGTTAAAACTAGATGAACATTTAAAAAAAATATAGTGGATTAGCGCTAATTTCGTTGCAATTTAAACAATATGATAGGGCCACGGCGCTTTCTGTTTCGTATTGATTCCCGTGTAACAGACAATTAATGCAATCGCAGGAGTAAAATAATATACCGAACGGATATTTACAACTTTGTAAATATGTTTTGGCTCCATTACGTACGCATACGGTATATATTATATGTCATTTCGCGCTTCTTGTCAGCACCATTTCAGAAGTCTCACAGCCTGATGGCGCTGAGGCCGGCAGAATTTCGATTATTCCTTTTTTGGCACTATCGTTCGGCAGCTATCGGTTAAACCCGTTAACCGAGAACCTGGATTTAAAATCACCCTATCTGATATGGCTTCGACAGACTAGAGGTTAAGTCAAAAGGGTGTTCGGGTAAGGGTGCAGGGAACCATATTTTGCAAGCCGTAGGCGTATGAGCACGATCCTCGATAGTATAGTAACCGTCCCAGCTAGCAATACTCGCCCGGTCTAGTGGAGATAGCGAGAAGGTAGTCAGCTCGCGGTGCGGCAGATATGTAGATAGTACAAGGAGGGGAACGAGCGCGGGTTCATTCCGAATGTTCAACGTCGGTGAGAAATTAATTTCTTCCGAAAAACTTTAAGTAATCCGATCGTGCATACATCGTAAGCTTCAATTGTGAAGGGGCTTAGCAGAGAGCTTGAGCACCAGATGGAGTTGGTACATTACACTTTGTGAAACAGAGATCTACCAAAAATATGAGCCCAATGTTCATTTGCCAGTTTCTTTCAACCAAGACCACGAAATTAAATTCGATTATACTTATCGTGCTGTAGTAAGGTTCGTTTGCCATGATCCCTTGGGAAAGTTCGCCATGGGACAGAGTACTCAAAACCTATCGACGCGGAGACTAGTGCGCGGGTGGCATATGCGTCTTCGTATTGTCACCAATAATAACATCTGGGATGTAAATAATCATACACGAACCTCTCGTAAGTCCGGCCACCCTGCGCAACGGAGCGGGGTTGTTCTCATTGTCTTTTGGCTTATATCACGGACTTCCATCCTAACAACTGTCATCATTAGAATAATCCTATCCAGTTCTTCACCGTCACGCGAGCGCTAACTACAGGGCGTCCTTTGTTGCCTCTCTACCCCAATCACGCGATCTCTGAAAGAGTCCCCCACAGCTTCTCTCCCTCACTGCGCGCTACTCTTTCTATTTAGTTCCTCTCGCTAGCTCGATCTTGACAAATTTCCTCTCTGGCTAGCCTGATCATTTTATTTCTCTAATCTGGCTAGCTCTACACGTTTATCTTGAAAGAATAAGCGCATAAGCCTTTAGCCAAACAATGACTATTGCAGCGCCATCTCCCTTTGGTTGATAAATTCTAAGAAGCCAAATTAATCTATTGCATCAAGCGACAAAACAATACAAACGTATATATTACTCTGATGCAATAGTCCCGCAACGAGAACACAAAAATATATTTCAACAATAAAACATAAACATCTGAAGTTACGCCAGAACTTTTTCGGTTAATAATGCAATATGTGTGAGTTCTAACAGGGAAAAACTGGAACAGATATTAATAGTAGACTTACATATGCAATATGACATGTGAGGACAGATTTAACCACGTGCTAAAAATTGCATGGCGTTATTTTAAATTGAGGGCAACGAAGTTGAATCTTGAAGTGATTTAGTCAGCCCACTAACGTCATAGGGCAATGCCCCAGGGTACTGCCGGAACGTACCCTGGGTACGGTCCGGTATACCGGAAACGTACCCTGGTAACGTATTGATATGGTTAGGTAGGTTAGGTAGGATAGGGAGTATGCCGGAGGCGACTCCTAACTCGTTATGGAGTCAGCGAGTATGGTCCGCATATTTAATAGTACCAGGACGTTCCGGTATACGCGATGTATCGGATCCCGTATGTTCATTAAGTGCAAGGCCAAGGTGCCGCGTGCAAGCCAAAACAGTTTCAGCAGAGAAGAAAAAGATTTCTCCCGACGGGGAATTAACCCCCGGTCTCCCCAATGACCAAACGGGAACTAACCACTTAACTATCGAAGATGGATCAATAGATAGCCTCCAACGGTGATAGCCGCAGTTAACCGACAGGCTGTGTGGCTACGTCAATATTTGTATTCTAACCCTCGGCAATACCGTTCTGAATAAGCCGCAGTAAAGCGTATTACAAAAAACAAATGACTGCCAGCGCCAATCTCTTGGTTGAAAATGTCTCAAGCCGAATTATATCATTGCATCAAGCGCAAAAACAACGTATATTTTTGTTACATCCTGAATGCATAGCCGACAACGAGAACACAAAAGATATATTCAAACTAAAACATAAACATCTGATTAGCAGAACTTTTGGATTTTAATAATGCAGATATTGTGATCCTAACAAGGAAACTGGACAGTATATATATATTACTATGCAATATTTACAGGGACCAGATTTAAACACGTGCTAAAAATTGATGCGTTATTTTTAAATATGAGGGCACGATTGATCTTGAAGTGGATTTAGTCGACCCACTAAGCTCATAGGGTCTAATGTTCCCACAGGGTACTGCGGAACGTACCCTGGGTACGGTCCGTACCCGGAAACGTACCACTGTTAAACTATCTGAATATGGTAAGGGTTAGGTTAGGGGTTAGAATAGGGAGTAAGGCAGTAGGCGACTCCCTAGACTCGTTAGGAGTAGGGCGAGGTATGTCCGGCATATTAGATAGTACCAGGGTACGTTCCGGTATACCGATGTACGGATTCCGTATGTTCAATAACGGTGCAAGGGCAAGGTGCGGGTGCAAGGTCCAAAAGCAATTTTGCAGTTCAAGAAGAAATTCTCCCCGACGGGAATTGGAACCCCGGTCTCCGCATGACACCGGGTACTCAGCAATATATATCGAGGATTGTGCAATAGATAGCTCCAACGGTGATAGCCCAGTTAACCGACCAGCCTGTGTACTAAACGTCAATAATTGGTATTCAACCCTAGCAATACCGTTTCTTGAGATAAGCCTCAGTAAGCTTTTACAAAACAAATGACTGCCACAGCCATCTACTTGGTTGAAATGTCTAAAAGCCAGAAGTTTATAATCCATTCATCAGCGCAAAAACAATACAAACGTATTAATTATTTCTCCTGAATGCATAGGTCACAAACAGAAACACAAAAGATATATTATCCAACATAAAACATAACAACTGAATACGCAGACTTTTTTGTTAATAATCAATATGATGGTGACCCTAAACAGGAAAAAACTGTGCAGTATATAATATTACGTTGTGCAATATTTTGACAGTGGACCAGATTTAACCACGTGCTAAAAATAGATGCGTATAATTTTAAATATGAGGGCACGATGATCTATGAAGTGATTACAACCCACTAACATTAAATGCAGTCTTGTGTGCATGTAGAAAAAGCAGAATGTGACAAACGACAAAAATCTCCACGTGGCAGGCAACACGAAAATTACTTTGCAATTAGAATCACCGATCCCCCTGACTATTCCATAATCGTCGAATTCCCGTACGTGTAATTTGTATTATTGTGTATATATAAAGCTAGAAATCTCCGCCCAGGCAAACGCACCACGGACGCACTA